TTCATTTATTTTATTTATTTCATTTATTTTATTTATTTCATTTATTTTATTTATTTCATTTATTTTATTTATTTCATGTTGTCTTATTTTAGAAAAAAATACTTGGACCAAAATAGATGTTTCCAATTCACATCGTCGTCTTTCACATACATCAACACAAGTTGGATCTTATTTATTCATAGTGGGAGGACACGATGGAACAAAATATACATCGGAGGTTCTTTTATTAAATTTAGGTATGCGATAACGTTTTTAGTGTTTCGTATTTTTTTTTTTTTTTGAGAATTAAATTTAATAATAATTTTAATTATTATTTTATTTTATTTTATTTTTTCATTTATAGTAATTATGGAATGGGAGCCTCGTAGTGTTTTTGGTACACCTCCATCAGGGAGAGGTTATCATACAACGGTTTTATACGATTCGAGACTTTTTGTTTTTGGTGGTTACGACGGTCATTCCGTTTTTGATGATGTATATATTCTAGATTTATCTGCTTGTGCCTATTTACCACAGATTATAAATTTCAAACTTCTTGAGAAAACTGATTCTATATAAAAATATATATGACATATAACAATTTTTGATTATATACATAAACATATATATATATATACATACATCTTTTTTATTATTAATTACATTAAAACAATAATTAAATTTAATTAAATTAAGATATATTTTATAATAATAGTAATAATAGAAAAAAATTATATCTTTATATTTCTTTCCTTTCCTTTGTATTTGTACTTGTATTCGTACTCAAAATTCAAATTTCTTTAACAATATAATGATTTTTTTTAAAAAAAAAAAAAATCATGTTTTTTCATGTGTTATGTATATATGAATTAATTGAATCCCATACGTAATTTATATTCCTTTTCTTCTTCACTGGTCAAGGCATCCGCATCTGCCCAATTTGATGAACTTGAACGCTGACGGAATTTATTTCTTCGATCTTTAAAAATTTCTAAGAAAAAAAATATATAAATATATATATATTTATTTATTTAAATCACTTTTTATATAATCACATGAACTATAAAAAATAATCCATACCTTCTATATTCAATGGTTGAACTTTCCCAAATATTTCTTCTGGGTCTATAAAGGCTTGACGTCTCAATGCTGCCTTTAGATCGGATGGCCTACACCAGTCTGGACATATTTTATTTTTATCTTCCATTTCCATTTCACTACTTTAATACAATTATTAAATAAATTAAATTTAAAAGTCAAAACAAATGATAATAAAAAAATCTTTTATATTCCGAAAAAGATAATTACTCGCTATCCATTTCTGGTAATTCGATCTCCGGCTCAACCATTTTTGATCTAAATTTGTCTATTTTATCTATTCGTTTTTTTTTAGACCCTTCATCAACCTTTTTTTTTTAAAAAAAAAAAAAAAAAGTTATGAATTATATAATTGAAAAAGAAAAAAAATCATATAAATTCGAAATCATACCTTTTTTCTTATTTCCAAAGTGAAATTCGCTTTTCTTTTCCACTCTTCTTCACGTTGCTTAGCGTTTAGTAAACGTCTTTGTTCTTCCTCCCTTCTTCGTTGTAAAGCAGCTAATCGCTTCGCTTCCCATTCTTTCGTTCTTTCTGATTTTTTTTCTTGTTCTTCTTGTTCCTAATGATTAATGTGTAGGTCGTAAGATAACTGAATAATAATATAAAATTTTGATTCGCGTAAATTTTACCTTTTTCGCAGCAGCAGCAGCCAATACAAGTGATTTTATTTCGGGTTTCGAATGAGCCAATCTTTTTTTGAATGTCTTATTATTATGGTTATTATGATTATTATTATTGTTATTATTATTATTGTTATTATTATTGTTGTTGTTATTATTATTATTATTATTATTATTATTATTATTGGGTGGATCATTAACTTTGCTACGTTCGCGAGAAATTACATTGTCACTTTGAAAATATGTCAGGTTGTGATCATTTCGGGGAACTATATTATTTAAAGATTTGAAAAAACTCTGATTCTTTAAAGTTTTTTTGTGAAGGAACCTTTTGTTCTCATGTATCGTCATTAAATTATCAATCAGTTCCTGATTATTCCTGTCATGAGAAATCTTTATATCATTCGAAGAAATAATACTGTCCAAATAGTTCTTTATAGCATCGACTTCTTGTTGAAAGGTTACAGTAAATTCTTGAAAATTTTCGGTGAAATAATTTTCAATTTTTCTTTTTTCGTTAGAAAGCCAACAGCCTTCACTTATTTGATAATTTTCCAACGCCACGTTTTGCATGTTTTGCATGTTTTGAATTAAGGTACAGAAGAAACTTTCAATAAATAATCTTAATAATCTTTTTTTTTTAGTTGAGGTTTATATTACGTCACGCGAGATGGTGAACGATCCTGCGCAGCAATGGTGTTAGTAAATCCCGACTAATTCCAAAAATAATGTTATTTTATTGGTTTAAGCATATCGCAAGCAATCATGTGCAAATAATAAATTATATATATTTTTTTAATATCTACTAACTTTTTTTTTATTAATAAATTTATTATTTAATGGATAAATAATCAATTAATAATTATATTAATTATATTAATAATTAATTTATCTTGTGAATAATTGACTAATTCCTTGTAAACCAAGCCTATGGAAGTCAAACATGGTTTGGCTCAGCTGATGATTTGGTAGTTGTTGCTCTCTTCCTCTTCTTCTGGACTCTCTTTTCCCATCTTCTCTTCTCTATAACTTTTTTCTATCATTCCCTTCTTTCTCTTCACCCGCTTATGTATTTATTTATCTTTCCTACCTAAACATCCTCTTCTCTTGACAATTTCGACAATTTTGATAATTTCCTTTTCCTACCTTTCCCTATTCCTTACCTTCTATTCTATTATACATTTGCGCCCTTTCTTTCTTTTCTTTCATGTTTCTCCCTTCTTCTTCCATTCCTTTCAATGACAGAGAATTCAGAGATTTCAGCTCCACAATGGAAGATTTTGACAATTCCCTGTTCCTTTCTTTGCATTCTTCTCCCTTTTCTCTTCCATTCCTTTCAGGATGGCGATTTCGACGATTTCGACGATTTTGATGATTTCGGCGATTTCAATGGTTTCTCTTTTTTCTTCCCTTTCTACCTTTTCACAACAGTAGAAAAAGGAGGGAAGAAGAGGAAGAAACCATGGGGATATAGAAAATGAAGTGAGAAGTGTTTATAGAGGAAAAAAGGAAGAGAAGAGGGATTCCTTTCAAGGATTTATTATTCACGGCTTGAAATATATATATAAAGTGAAAAAAATTAAATTGATTATCAAGTCATGATCTTCTCGCGAGCCACTATTTAGGCTTGCGAGTTGGCTCGAGCTTTGCAAACCGACCTTTGGGTTCGCAGCCTATAAGCCTATAATACTAAGCTTGATTTGGCTTGGCTCGGCTCATCTCGTTGGGTTCAAAACCTATGAGAAGTAATATATCAAAGACTATTAAAAAAAAAAAAAACTCGAATTTCGGAAATTAAAATTCCGATTGTGAATTTCTAAAATATTAACCAACAAATTCAATTTTCTTTGTCTTATGGTTTTTGGTGTAACACAAATCATTTTTTATCGTCTTGTCATCACATATCATCACTCACTATAACTTAACCATTTACCGTTAAAATGATTATTTGCAAGAAAAGTAAAACGTTGCACGACTCATTCTTACATTGCAACTAAGTTCTTCTCTTGGTGCATAAATCCTGCAAATGACCAAAATGTACCTTTTTTTTACATATTTTTTTTTTCTTTTAGCCATTAGGATAAAGGAAAAACAGAAAGGATTACAGAAAAGACATAAATGATTCATGTGGTACCGTTATTATATGTCACAGCTAATCATCATACCCAATAATTTCACTAGTTATAAATATAGTTGCTAAAATAGTTTCTTGAACAGAAACACAAAAATTATATAAAAATATATTTTAATCTCCACAATATGCTTGATAACTAAAAAGAAAAAAAGAAATATACGGACATATTAGAAACTTTATGATTTAGTATATAGAAATATATAGTTGAAAAATATATCAGAAACTACTATCTTTAATAAATAAGCAAAACAACAACCCCTAAGATGCTGTCTAACCAAACTGACTCAATAACTGACTCGCTTTTACCCGAGCCTCAACTCTACGTGTGCGAGTTACACTTTGGTATTGGAGACGATGAATTGATAAAATTGTTAAAGGACGTTGACCCATTAAGGTATAGATTTTAGATTTTCTCCCGACAATTTTTTTTTTTTTTTTAACTTGATATGTATTCTTTAAACTAATTTAACATTTTTTTTTACTTTTCGACTTTTCCACATTTTCCACATTTTCCACATTTGGGTTGTTTTGTTTAAAATAGAGTCGATATCCGCCGTCAACATGGATCTACCAACAACAATGGTGTCATTCATTTTCCGGCAATAGAAAATGGTACGGAATTCTCTTTGATTTTTTTTTTTCTAAACAAAATCGATTTCATTTTTCTTATTTGATTATATTTATTTAAAAATAGCGGAAAAGGCATTCGCCATTTATAATAATATCAAGTTGGACGCTTATAAGACTTATTTAAAATTACAAATTACTGATCCCATGGGTCACGGAATTGAACCACAAGCAAACGCATATATTTTACAAGTTAGGCAATTGCCCCTTAACACTACGAATCTTTCTCTCTATGATCTCTTTCGACCATTTGGTCCATTGTTTTCTGCTAGAATGCAATATCAAGATAATAAATTTAAGGGACATGCCTTTGTTCAGTATTTCAAACAAGAACATGCTGACTTGGCTATTCGTAATATGGTAAATTGACATTAATTCTTAATTATCACATAACTTTTTACATTCATTTAAAAAATTTATATCATTTAACATTATTTACATCATTGAATAATAGAATTGTTTTACGATTGACAATAAGACCATGTAAGTTACATAATGAGGTAGTATTTTGATTTTGTGAAATTTTTTAAAAAAAAAAAAATAAATTAAATACAATTTTTTACGATATAATAAACATATGTACAAAGATAATAAAGATGAATTCTCTTCTTTAATATTATTCTTTAAAATTTTATTCATTTATTTCTAATTAATTAGTTCCGTCTCTCAATACCATGGTAAGCCCAACAATAAGCCTGCCATTCGCACAAATATTACAAATCCCACATTTCCCAATTCTGTAAGTTTTATATTTTCAACATTTTTCATATTAAGAGAAAACATTAAAACATTTAATAAGATTACATTTTTGTAAATTAAAATAGGTACAAGCATTTTCTCCTTTGGGAAATAATAACAATAATAATAATTTCAACAGTCTAACAGCACCACCTTCTCCAGGTCCAGAAGGTCCGATCGTTGACCCATGCAATTTGTTTATCAAGAATCTTGATTCCAATATTTCTAGTAGTGATCTTTTCAATCATTTCCGTCGATTTGGTCGCATCATTAGCGCACGTGTTATGAGAGATCAAGAGACTGGTAATTCAAAGGGTTTTGGATTCGTTAGTTATACTAATTCTGAAGAAGCAGATAGAGCGAAGAGTTCGATGCACGGAAAAACCTTAGGGACAAAACAGATTGTGGTTAGGCTTCACGAACCTAAAAAGTTACGTGAAGCCAAATTAGCAAACCAGTTCAGTAGTACTCCCGCATCTCCTTCCGAAAGTCGGGCTCCTTCTAGACGTAATTCAGATTTATATATTATTAATACCGTAAATGAATTCGGAAGAGATGATCTTTCTGGTTTAGCCCCTAAGGCTCGTAAAGAAGTTTTAATGTCCGAGTTACAGAAAAGATTTAAATATATTCCAAGCGTACCTCACGAAGAGGTTAATCCGATCATCGAACACTTATTGAGTATGAAAACTGATGATGTTTTGCATATCCTTAAAGATGCAACTGCGTTGCAACAAAAGGTTTGTATTCAAATTTATAAACATTTATAATATTTTGTAATTTTATTATCTGTCAGATTTAGATTTAAAATATAATAAATTTCATTAAATTTGTTATGTTAATTATTTTTATTTTATATATATATATATATATATTATTTAGATTACAGAAGCTAGACATCATCTTCAACAAGAGAAGAAGCGTCGTGGTGCTGAGGAAGCGATTGTTGCATCAATAAATACTGCTACTGCTGCCAATACTTCCTTCCAACAACTCCCACAACGCGAAAAATTCCTTAAAGTAATCAATAAGCTTTGCCCTCGTTATTCCGATGAAATTCTAGACCTGATTATGTCTTTAAGTCAGAAAGAAAGAACTTTATGTTATTTCAATTCTGATTATCTTACTAAAAAAATCTTGGAAGCTAATCAGGCTTTAGAAGCTGTAAATGATGAGGATCCTTCGCTTTCGGTCACTTCTAGAGAAATTGTACCAATTCCTATTCAAGAAAATAATAGTATTCATCCTCACGTTATTCATAATCCTGTTAAATCCCCCGAGGTACCTCCTGTTGTTAGTAATAATGTTCATGACTTTGCGGCTTATGAAGAAATTGAGAAATTCATTGAATCCGTAAAAAATAAACCTATTCATGAACAAAAACAAAAATTGGGTGATCGCTTGTTTCCCAAGGTTAAAGTAAGTGATTCGTAATTTATTGAATCAAATTTATTGAATTTATTGAATTTATTGAATTTATTAAATTTATTGAATTTATCGTATTAAATAATTATTCTTACTTTTTTGAACAGAGCCTTGGTCTTAAAAGCGCTCAAGCCAGTAAGGTTACCATCAACCTTCTGGACACTGATGATCTCCGCGAACTGGCTCATTCGATGAATGACCTAGAGAAGTTTAGACAAAAAGTCAATGCGGCTGCTGAGAAGGTGGTGACTAGCAAATAAATAAATAGAAACTAAAGTTGGTTTTTCGGCTACGGTAATAAAGAAATTTGGATTCCATTTTAAATATTTGGCATTTATAATATCTATCTAATTTTAAAATTTAAGTCAATTCTCTTTAAGTAAATGATCTCTAAATGCAGCATCTCTTTGGTTCCATAATGGGACTTATGAATACGTTCTTTATTCTATATATTAAAAGATCGATATGGATATTAATATTAATTATACATCATATGTACATTATTTAAATAATGAAAAAAAAGTAGCTTAGAACAAACAACAACATGCACCCATAACAAGAGTAGATATAATTCTTGATTAATTGTGGAGGAAAATATATGGTTTTTTTTTTTTTTTTTAGTTATATTTTTATTATCTTATCTATTTCTACTATCTATTAGTAAAATGGTTCTCTATGGTTTTTTAGTTCATTATTTTTAATATACGATATTTATATATTTTTATATATATATAACTTAACAAATATGTATTTATTTTTTTTTTTTGAGAAATTAAATTATCTTTTTTTGGACTATAATATTTATTTTACTTTTTTATTAACATTCAATAAACATAAACATAAATATTAAGTTCATTACATTTACTATCAAAACTACTCAATTACTGAGATTTAATTGCGTCAATTTTTCATATGATTTAATTCGTAATTTTAATTGCGTCTGACTAAAATTACGAAAAATTGGAATTGAGTCATGAAAATTTGACGCAATTGACGCAATTACATAAACGCAATAGACACAATTAATTGAGTAAAGTATTTTTACTTTTGACGTATCGTTCAAAATCCAAACTTTATTGTAAAATTTCGTTTTATTCGAAATACTTTATTGAATGAGTATATTATATTTATTCATTACAAAAAAAAAAAAATTAATAATTTATAATATACTTGGATAAGATTTTCTATAATTATCATATGTAGCATTTTTCGCGCGTTACTTCATTATTTCGTTGCCTAAAGCCACCTAATGAGAAAAAAATTACATAAAAACAGAAGCATAACGTATAGCGGAACTACCCACTGGGCTATGCGCAAAACGAAAACAAGGACAGATCCAAAGTCGTGGTAATGCACGCGGGTCTATTGGGTCTAAAAAAAAAAGAAAGTTACGATAAAAAATAATGATTTTATATTAGTGATCTTTGTTTGTGTCACCATGTATATGTATTAATAACGATTTTTTTACCTGAATAGTAATAACTTTTTCAGATATGGCTTTGAGAACTATAGGAAATAAATTTTTAACAGGTAAAAAGGTCAAGTCTCAAAAACTCGTAAGCCTTTTGCTTTACTAAACTTTTGTACTTCCTTATTTAAAAGGTTCTACTATAAGACCCTTTGTAACAAGCAAATATTCTAATTTTCCCGGGTACGAGGAAAAAGACTGTAATTTTGGTTATTTTATATTATCTTTCGGGAACACTTTTTCATAAATTTACCCCATAAACAAATACGGGAGAAAATGTCTTTGTCTTTCTTGAATAAAATTTTTTTTAAAAAGTGATAGTTTATCAACTTATATGTCAACTTATATATTAAAATATATATAGAATTAGAAAATATTCAGTCTCTCCGAAAGATGGTAAATTTTTCAATAATAATATTTGTGTAGCTTAGATTTATTTTTTTTTTTTAAATTAAATTTATTTTTATAATTTATAAAGACAATAAAGCATTGGATCCTAAACAAAAAGCATTAAGCATCATTGACTCTCTCCCCGGAGACACCTTACTTACAAAAACAGGATATATCACTGTTGGAGTTGGATTGTTATCTTTAATAATTTCCAAGGAATTATATGTTTTTAATGAGGAGACCTTGCTGTTGTTTGCTTTTACTGGGATGGCGACAACTGTTTTTCGTTTAACTAGAGAACCTTTTAATGAATTTGCACAAGAGAAAATGGATGTTAGTATTATGATTATTTCCATTTTTCGGTTAAGATTATTCCTGAAAAAAATTTTTTTTTTCATTACATTTCATTTCCTTTCTCTTTTAAAGCGAGTCAATAATATTCTCGATCAAACTCAAGAAAATCATAAAACTGCTGTAAAAGAAAGAATTGGAACAGTTCAACACTTAGGAGACCTTGTTGATGTTACAAAGGCAATGTTCGAAATGTCCAAGGTAATCTTTTATTTTATTTAATTTAATCTTTTTAGAAAGAAGTTTTGCTTTTCTATATTTTTAAAAAAAAAAAAAAAAAAAATTTTTTTTTTTTTTAATTATAAAGGATACCGCAAAGCTAGAAGCCGAGGCTTTTGAGTTGAAACAAAAAGTTATTGCGGCTTCTGAAATTAAATCAGTCTTGGATTCATGGGTACGATATGAAGCAACTTTGCGTGAACGTGAACAAAAAGATTTGGCGAACCATGTCATTGGGCGTGTTATGGCTCAGTTACAGAACGAAAAATTGGTATGTTTTAATACACAAATTATATTATATTATGCTTGTGAAATATAGACCTTTAAATTATTATTTTATATTTATAGCAAAATGAAATTTTAAGTCAAGCAGTTATTGATCTTGAAAGTATGAGAAATGCTTTTATTTATTTATTTTATTTATTTATTTTATTTTATGCTGATCTTTTTAAATTTAACTTATACTTGAAATTTTTTATAGAAACTATTGGTGCTAAATCTGCATGATCTCTTGCTAAAGATATATAGAATATTTTCTGTATCTTGAATTATAAAGTTCACAAGAAAATAATAATTTAATAAATTTATCTAACTTAATATTTTTTAAATTAAATTGATATTGATTTACAAATTTTAAATTTAACTATTTCTCCTATTGGAGTTAGTTTTGCAAATGTATTGTAAATTTTTAAAGTTGGCTTTTAAGTATATAAAGTTAGCTTGTAAATGCCCAAGTTATGCCAAATTAGGATAGACCAAACAATAATTATAATTGATACCCAATTCTCTGATCAAATTGTTAAAGCCTTTTATATTTTTATTTGTGACTTTTTTTTTTAAATGTACCTCCTAATCAAATATTTTTTTAAACAAAACTCTAGGTACATAAAAATTTGTTAAAAATGAAAAAAGTGTCTATTGAAAAGCAAAAAAAAAGGAAAATATCTTAAAAATATAAAAAAAAAACTATGTACATTCAAGAGAAAGGGGAATTTTTATGTATAAGGGAATTATTTTTAAAGAAATTCTATGTAAATGAATTCACTAAACTCATCAGAAAAAAAAAATTATATAAAAATAAAATCATTCACACATCACATACAAGTAAACATTATATAAAGATTTTTATGCCCAAAAAATCTAAGTTATTTATTGTACGAAATATGTATATATAAATTACAAAAAAAAAAAGGAAAATAAATTCGGTTATTTTTTCAGCGAAAAGATTAATAAAAAAATTTTAATATAAAGAAACAAAATTTACGAAATATTAAATGAAAAAAAAAAGAGCTTGAATCAACAAGCTTCTAATTGTTATTGTTTGTTGTATTAGTGGAATTATTTGGTGAAGTTGTTGTCGGTGATTGTTGAGGACGCGCGAAGAAATGGGATGAGGGGGATGAAGTTGGAGGTAGTTGTTGAGAACTATCAAAAGCCGGAGCTCGAGGACGATGAACTAATTCTGGACGATGATGATTCAATGGTGGAGGATGTAATGTTGTAGGGTGTGAAGAGTAATGATAATTCATGTTATGTTGCTGTCCTTGATGTTGTGACGGTAATGTGGGTTGTGAAATTAATCGATGAGACGGAAAGGTAAAAGTATTATTTGATTGAGGTGATGGACCCACTGGTGAAGATGGGTGAAGTTGGTGAACAGGTGGAAGGTGGTGAGGGTGAATAGGTTGTGGTGGTGGACCAGATCTCAATTCACGAGATGGTCCTCCAGATAACGGATTCGGTGTACTATCAAAACTCGGAGGTCTCTGTTGATATTGAGTTGGAGATGGAGATGGAGGTGGTGGTGGTGTTGGAAATATACGATTTGTTGCAAAATTTAGATGAATATTGTTACTGACCATAGAAAGCCCGGAAGGATGAACTGGTGGAGGGGGAGGAGGTAAAGAATGTGGGGGTAGAGTATTTGTACTTGATGAAATGTGTGTCTTTTCATGTTTACGAAGTGACCTTGAATGATAATATGCTTTTGTACAATTTTTATATGGACATTTATATGGTCGAACATTTGAATGTGTTTTTATGTGAGTTGTTAAGGAATCAGGTCTTGAAAACCTTTTACCACAACCATTAACAGTACAAACATAAGGTCTTTCCCCGGTGTGAGTTCTTAAATGATTATACATTTTATGTCTTTTGGTAAACGGCTTTTGCCCTCTAAGGCAACCTTCCCAGTCACATGCATAAGTAGCCTTAAATATAAAGAAATTTGTAAAAAAAAAAAAAAAATACTGCAAACTTGATAATTTTGAACGGTGCCATAGTAGTGGTGCTCACCTTTCCGCTTCCAATGTGAGCATCACCCACATGAGATATTAATGTTTCTAAAGTATTTAACACTTTTGTACATCCTCTCCACATGCATCGATGAACATCCTGTTTTTCTTCTTGAGAATTATCTGGTTTCTCGGAACTTATTGTCGGAGAACCTTGAGAGCTGCCGGCTACTGTATTCTCGGATCGACCTGGTTCACACTTTATTTCGTCCAATACATTTACAGGAGTCAATGGTGAATCATCATCTGTGGGAGTATCTTTAGAATATAAGTAATCATCGAATATAATGTTTAAAACCACTAAATGGATTATGATGATGATGATACTGCCACGGCTATATATTGTTATATCTATTAACGTGTAACATAAATTAAATAATACTTACCACTACCATCGGAAAAACTGGATCTTCTCGAGTCATTACGCTGACGTTTATGTCTATTATTACCTTCAAAACTACGATTTTTTGGATTTTTTTCACGTTGTTCATAATATTTCAATTTTGTTATCAGTTCTTCTGTAGATAAATTTGGATGTTCATATTTTCCCAATTTAGCGTAGAGTTGATCTATCGTCATATCTTCGAATGAAGTTGTGTTGGTCCAGTTCGATGAAATATGGGATTCTGCAGTTTTTGACGACTCGATTTTATCAATTTCGGGTTGTGTGATAGAGAGTAAAGGAGCATGAGTCTTCGGGGAATTCGTCAAAATATCAGATGCAGATTGAAGTGGATTGTTTTGAGATTGGAATACTAGTTGGCAATCCTGATCATGGTTATTATTATTACTGTTGTTGTTGTTGTTGTTGATATTATCGTCGTTATTATCATTGTTATTATTATTATTGTTGTTGTTGTTGTTAATATTATTATTATTATTACTATTATTGTTGTTATTATTATTATCATCATCATTATTATTATTATTATTATTATTATTATTACTATTATTACTATTATTACTATTATTATTATTATTACTATTATTATTATTATTATTATTACTATTATTATTGTCTTTGTTATCGTCCTTATCATTTTCGTTATTCTGCTGCAAGACTTCCATCGGTTCAGAGGAAGTTACAGTATTTACACGGCCGTCATGTAGATCGGGGGCTTCGGATGTTGATGAAAGACTGGATGCAATGGTATTGTTTATTTGTGTTGGTCCTTCGTTTGAGGGTGATTTTCTTATCAGTTGATCACGATTTTGGGGTTGAGAATCTTGTGAGTTGGACGGTTTTGATCGTGGAGATTCTGAAACGTTATCATTCGATTTTTGTGCCGCAATCTGTATATCCAATTGAGGATTTTCGGCGACAAATGTTAATGTTTGAGCAGGAGGATGAACAGGTGAATTATTAAGAATATTTCCATCTACAACATTGTCCTGAACAATATGTTCACCTACGTTAAGTAAGTGAAGGGGGATTATATTTGTAGTTGAAGATTGCATATCGGTTGTTAGTTGATTATTAAGTTGATTATTAAGTTGATTATTAAGTTGATTATTAAGTTGATTATTAAGTTGATTATTGAGTTGATTATTGAGTTGATTATTAAGTTGATTATTAAGTTGATTATTAAGTTGATTATTATTTGCAATTTCTATGGCCAGACGTCTGTTTTGTTCTGCTATTTGAATTGAAGCGTTAGCCAATGTATCTACTACAGCCTGTACAGAATTATTGCCTGAATGATTATCCATATTTGAATTATCCAGCATCAAAACCACCGGCTGTTGACCAGAATTGCTAACAGAAGGCAGAGACGTTTGTTGTTGCATTTGGGTTGTGGTGACAACTTGAGGTGGAGTTGGTTGCATTTGTTGGGTGGTTATAGCTTGTACAACTTGGGGTGGTGATTGATTCATAGCTTCAGTACGAGCAGCTTGTGCTGCAACTACAGCAACGTTATGAGCGGCTTGAGCTGCCTGTTCAAAGGCAGCAGCAATCCGAACTTCTTGAACCATCACCTCTTCTTCGGCAACCGCAGCAGCAGCTTGAGCTACATGTGCGGCTTGAACGTGTGCATTTACTTGTGCTTGAACATGAACATCAGGAGGTCTAGCACTAGCATGAGCCACAGCAACGACAGCAGCAACTTCAGCCATTTTGGCTGCTTGTACTTGAGCATGCACCTGTGCTTGTAATTGAGCATGCACTTGAACTTGAACTTGAACCTCAGCAGCCGCCGCCGCAGCCACCGCTTGGGCTTCTTCAACTTTAGATGCATTATGATTTTGTACGTTAGCGACCGATGAATGATCAGTATCAATAATCATATGATCTATCATTTGCTGTGGCGGTGGCTCTTCAATCATATTTGCTTGTAATAATGTAGTACCGGCTTGAACTTGGTTAGCTTGAACTTGAAAAGCTTGAGCTGAAACATTTAAAGTATTAGATTGATCCATCTGATGTTGCTGTTGCCTATTTAATTCTATTATCGCAGCAGGAGCTGTAGTAGAAATTATTTCATTTTGGTGTTCAACGTGATCTATATGACTTATTAATGGTCGATTATACATTGTAGTAGATGGTGGTGGTTGTTCTTGAGTTGTTGTTAATACAACTTGTGGGGGACCCGAAGAAGTAATGGTTAATTGTGGTTGTGGATCTTGTTGAGATACTAAAACCGGGTCCATCATTTTTGAAGGGTCGTGGATCATTGAAGAGTTCATAGAAACATTTGATGATACGTTCCCTATTGTTACCTGAGAGGGATTTGAAGACTCTAGAGGATTTTGGGTGGTAGGGTTCATAACTAACACAGTTGGTAATTGTTCTTGGTTAACCAACATTGATGATAAATCTTGTGTTGTTGTTACGTTATTTGATATAGAATTTAGTGAACTGGTTTGAATTTGTGATGATTGAGAAAGGGTCGGTGAGTTAGTATTTAATACAACCACCGAGGTCTGAGAGTTTTCCAGCAGTAATAACTGAGGTTGCGAACTTGATAAAGAGTCCGCACTTATACTGGAGTTCGTCGTTGTATTAGTATTATTTGGAACAGGATAAATCGTTGCTGGAGACATTTGACCATAATCGTAATTTTGTGATTCCATTTTTTTTTTTTTATAAAAAAGTCTTACCGGAGCAACGAAAAATAAAAAGATGAAAAAAAAATTTTTAGGAATGGAATGGGAACAACAAAGTTTGAACTACTGACAATGTCAAATGTTGCTGAATTGATTGACCTAAAAAAAAAAAGGTTAACCATTTTTAACAGAAATAATATAATTAAATAATTAAACTATATATAAAATCTGATAAAATAAAAAAAAATAGCATTGTGACCGTTTTAGTGTAACGTAATAAACAGAAGCCCCTGAGTGCAATTTTCCATTTTTAGGAAGAAAGGTTACTCAAAAATTGCTTATCTTTACAAGAAACAAGTATAAAAGTGAGGAAGGAGGAATAAATTTTGTTAATCTTTATTATATGAAAGAAGAATAAAATATGAGAGAATGCATTATTTTTTTAAAAAATCCCACAGATTTACAGAACTTTTACTTTAATTGTAAAAAGGCAAAGTTTATTATTTATTTAATAATAATATTATTATTATTGTTTACGATATATTATTGTTACAATATATATATATATATATACGATTTATTATACGATTTATTATATACGATTGATATAAATACGATTGATATATACGATTAATATATACGATTGATATTAATAAATTTAAATGTGGTGTATTGATGGCTTCTCTAATTTAATAGAGTCAATTCAGAGTTCATCAAATAAAAAAATTAAATTATACTTTATTTTTAAAGTTAATACTGTCAACCATAACTATAATCTGAAACTTCAATAAAACTACGAATAAAAACTATTCAAGAATCCCCTTTTTTATCCTTTTTACTAAAAGGAAAATCTGTTTGTGATCCTTTTTTTTACTAAAAGGAAATTCTGTTTGTTATTATTCTTTACCTTTTCAATCGAATTTTAAATAAATAAAATTATAAAGTACAGTACTCTCACTTTCTCACTTTAGCAAACAAAAAATAACTATAATAAATATAAACAACAATTATATATAATTATATACATATATATATATATATATATGTTAATCAATTAATCTAAGAATTTTCTACATAATGCACAATACCTAGAAGAAATATTTATTTATTTATTTTGATTATTTTCACATGGCAAGATCGACCAACCTAAAAACTTTAGACCAAGATCGTCTATAATAAAACATAGTATCGTTTATAAATGCTTTTTATAATAGTATTATAGTAAAAATATTCTGTTCATTCATTAAAATTTAGTAAATTGTTATTAATCTAATTTATACTAATTTAATTATTATTACATTGATTACATAAATCAAATTAATTACATTGGTTAAAATTAATTAAATCAAGATCTGAAAATCTTTTTTACTTTAATAAGATACATTATTAAAATTTTTTCTGACTTATATAATATTATAATACAAACCACTCATTGTTGAATAATCATAACTAATTGATTTGAAATAATCAGGCAGATAATTTTTACATTTTATTTATTACTTCTTATTTGAGAAGATATCATATAGACACATTTTTAAAATAAAAAAATAATAGATTACACAAATCCCACAACCATTGTTCATAAGTGAAATTAATAATATATATATATATAACTAGTACATTTTTTTTAAATATGTCTCTTGACTATATCAATTGTTACAATAACACTATCAAATGCATTTAAGTTTTACAAATACATTTTTCAGATATATTATATGTCTCCTAGATATATAATATATTTTCTAATTAATAATTAAACAAATAAACTAAATTAAATAAATTATATCTCTAATAAAATATATAAAATAAATAATAACAATTAATAAATAATAGAAATAAATAATAAAAATAAAATAATAATTGTTAATAATAAAATATAAATAATAAATCTAAAAATAAAATTAAAATTAAAAAAAAACTATAACATTTTTCACTTTTTTTCTAATTTGTAACTTCAAGTTTTCTCAAAGGTAAATCTATACAGTAAACCTAGATTGCTGATATCAAGATCTCAATAATTAGAAATAATATCTTTAATTATTTTTCAAAATCCTTAATATTATAAATTTTTTAAATGAAATTGTAATACAAATTCACAATTCTATAATTAATTATAAACTTTTGTATATCAATATTTCTATTTTCAAAATATTCATATTCCTGGTTTCAAAATAATATTTTTTTTATTTCAATTGGATATTTCTATATTAAGTTATAAAAAAAACAATTTATTTAATTAATAATTAAAATTCAATTAATTAAATAAAGTTATTTCTAGGCAGTAGGTTGCGGGCCCGTCTCTCATAAGTTAGTCCGAGTCTCATCTTTTCTATCAAACATTAGAATAAGTTGTGTATTTTGTATTATGTAATCTTATATAATGTAAAAGACTTTCTCTTTTTCTAATTAATAAATTTGAGACAAGACCTCGCTAGAATAAAAAAAAAAATAAAAAAATAAAGTTATTTCTATAACCTGTAATTCAATTTTTATAATTTATAGCTTATTTAATTCCTCTTATCGAAATAACATTTTAATAGTTGTTTCATTAAAATTGAACACATATACATCAAGTTATTAACTAAAAACAATTTGTTTATTTTTGATTAAAATCAAGGAATTTTTTATAAAAATAATTATTAACTTGTGAAATAATTATAAACTTGTAAAATAATTATAAAATAATTTTCTATAAGAAATACGCATATTTAAAAAATACTTAAAATATAATTAAAATGTCATTGAAATATTATTAAAATATATTTAAAATATATTTAAAATATACTTAATTATATTTGTGATAATCTACTTAAAATATTATTATTTTATAATTAAAATATATTTAAAATATACTTAAAAAATACTTAATTTAGATAATAAATAAGTATATTTTAAGTATATATTTAAAACATACTTAAAATATCATTAAAATATATTTAAAATTAAGCATATTTTAAGTATATTTTAAATATATTTTAATTATAAAATAATAATATTTAAATAGTTTTTTATATATTTAATAAAATATATTTTGAATATATTTTAAATATATTTTAAGTATATTCTAAATAGTATAGTTTTTATAGGGATTGTAAATTTGTAAAATAATTGCAAACTTGTAAAACAATTGTAAACTTGTAAAACAATTGTAAACTTGTAAAACAATTGCAAACTTGTAAAACAATTGCAAACTTGTAAAACAATTGTAAACTTGTAAAACAATAACAAACTTGTAAAACAATTGCAAACTTGCAAATAATTGTGAATTGTGAAAATTACAAATTTTTTACTACTGAAATTTTTAATAATTACAATACAAATAGCAATATTATAATCTTTAATTTATAATTACAAATACTATCTTTAATGAAGAATGTCAAATACTTCTTATAAATATTTCAAATAATCTTTGAAGATCTTGAAGTAGATGTTTAGATTATATAAATACACTACTACACTTTTTTCAATTAGGTTAAAAAATAATATCAGGAAATTTTTAAAAACAAATATATTCGGATGTATTTGAATTTACAAATATATCTAAATATATTTAACTACTAATACTACTTGATTAGTAGAATAATTACAAGTACAATAAAGTACTTGAATTTAATCTAGTAGTTATTAAAGATTTGAGAAGTATGAAATAACTTATAATACTAATAAAAATTTTAATTTATTTTATAAGATCAGAATAGAACAAAATTCAAGGTAAAATAGTAATAGAGTAAAATTGGGTAAGTATAAGAGATTAAGAAAGAACAAAGTAGTAATAAAAATAATAAAAGATGAGAAATAATAACAAATAGTAACAAGAGATAAGAAATGAAAATAAATAACAAATTAAAAGAATTCAAAGAAAGGTTTATATAGATTTATACTAGTCAAAAATTTATAAATACTATATCTATTTGGTATTCAATAGGTATAGTATTTATAAATTTTTGACTAGTGTTAATGGATAAATAGATGGTTAAAAAATAGAGAAAGTATGGTTCCAGTTAAATTATATGATCAAATGAGCAAGAAAACAAAGGAGTATAGTTTACTTTAAAAATTTAAAATTTAAGATTATATAATATCAGTATTTTAATTAATCTTGAAAACAAAAGAAATTAAAATAATAAAAAAATATAATTATGTTATACTAGAATCCTGAAATATACTAATAAATGTCATATTAGATTTGCAAAACTTTGATTAAAAATAATTAACTTTTTTTTATAATAGTTTTAAATAAACTTAATATGAGATATCAAAAATTTGATAAAAAAAATTATGACTTATAATTAAATTAATTAATTTAGATAATCATTTTACAGTATAACATTATATAATATTTTAATGTTGTACAATATAATATTTACTTTATTATTTATTTTTTTTTGACAATATAAGAATTAAAAATAATTCATAATTGTTATCACATATAAAATATTTTATTTTGATAACTAAATATAAAAAACAGTACTAAATAACTTTAAAAACAAGAATAAATTATGTATTATATTTAAAGAACAGATATTTATCTTCAAAATTGAGAATTATTAGCAATTAAAATTTGAATGAATGAAAATTTTAAAATAACTATTATTTACTTAATTTTAATTAAATTGGTCTGCTATTTTTACAGAAGATATACATCAGGAAATTTTTAATAGCAAATATATTCAAATATATTTGAACTAAATATATCCAGATATATTTGACCACCTATGCATTTATCCACATTAAATATTCAAATTTATTTGAATAAATATGTAAATATATTTGCATATATTTGTTTATTCAAATTTATCCAAATACATTTTCAAATATATTTGCATATATTTGTGTATTCGAATTTATCTGGATATTTTTTTTCAAATATATTCGTATATATTTGTGTATTCGAATTTATCTGAATACATTTTTTCAAATATATTCATATATATTTGTGTATTCGAATTTATCCAGATACATTTTTCAAATATATTTGCATATATCCATGTGATTCGAATTTATTCAGATATATTTTTTGAATATAT